GTTATTATGAGTTGAATGGAACCCGTGATGCATCTACCTTACCTTGTATAGAAAATACTCGGTCATCCTCTTTTTAGATGTAGGCCACTATATGCTTAGCCATGCTTAGCCCAGTAGAAGTCGGGTGATTGCTATCACCTGCAAGATATAGGTGGCTACTCTGACCTGGTTAGCTATATTTGCTATCATGGAAAAGAACCATGTGGAAATGGATAAATCGAGTCTGGGCTGGATCTGGTGATTGAGAGGCATCAGGAGATGATGGAGGTCTTATGTGCATGTTTTATCCCGCCCATGTCAGTTAAAGATTGTACTGTTGTCTGGACGTTCTGCTAAGATTGAATGTACCTTTACATAACAGCCGGATAATTAACTCATTCCGACCGTGAAGCCGAGTACCTCGGAGTCAGGCTAGGAGGTTGAGCCTAGGCTAGCACATTGCAAGGGACAAGGATTGAGCGTGGGCAAGCATGGCCTGAGTGACCTAGCTTCCGGCTGCCCCTAACTGTGTGGCTCGGCTCAAGCCCATGAATTGTTCCCCGAATCTGAGCAAAGGGTTATCCAATGTGACTCCGACGGGGGAAGTACGGGTGTGTGATACGGGCTGTACCCAGCTGGATGTAATCGAAACGAATCAAATCGTCGTCTTCCTGAATAGTGAGAAACTTAACTAGCTCCAACGTCATAGAAACTTATGGAATGTGATGGTTATGTTATTTATGCAAATTTGATATGGTTACTACTATGATGCTTGTATATTAATCAAGTGATTATACAATATAGATGCAAACTTAGCTTTAAATAGCTCTATTAATTTTACTGATAAAACTTGAAAAGTGAAGGACTCATGTTAGTAAAGTTTTTATGCAAACTTGATGCCAAGCTAGCTCCACCATGAAAAGCCTTGCATACTTGTTGGTGTCAATTTATTTTCGATTTATGACGGGTAAGTCTAATTGAGTACATCCCCGTACTTAGGGTTTATTCCCACCCTATTGCAGGTGAAGTTCTCTATCTATTGAAGGTGGTGACTAAGTGCCGGTGGGCTCGGTGACTCCGTATTTATTTCTCTATTGTTGGAGGATGTTACTTAAGCTAGCAATGTATTTCGACTTATATTATTGTAATTATTTCAAAGCTATGTTGTTTGCGCTAATCGAATTTGAACTCCGTATTGTATTATTATTTGTGAACTTAAGTGTTATATTATTTCCGCTGCAAACTCCTGTATATGATTTGTATTTGCTTAATCATGTGATCTTGGTTGTGATGTGGATTTACCGAGGTCATTCGTGATACTCGACGGACTACCGGGTTTATATAAGTGAAAGTGTGTGCATGCCAACACGTTAAGCAAAGACAACCATACTTGATCTTGTATAAATTGGGCACTTTTGCCATAGTTCCACATTTTTTATGATGCGGAGGTTCCGCACTCCTTGTTTTCCAGCGGCCCAAACCAAAGGCAGCAGCCCAAACCAAAGGAGAAAAAGGCAAAACTCGACCAAACGGACTCCGATTGAGCTAAAGTTTTGAACACACCTTCTCTAGGGAGTTATCAAGATGCCCATTTAGCCCCAAAAGATCAAAGCTTGAACATCAGCCCAAAAAACTCACTCTCAGAGCGGGGTTTTCTCTAATTTTCCTCCAAATGTTAGATCTATGTGCTCGTGAGGAATCTGTCCAAACTACTTGGCATAAATGCTCCTCAGAGATCCTAGCACGAATCCATCCACTCAAAACATCCCCAAAATCATAGGAACTCAAAATCCCATCAATCGGTGAAGAGAAGGGAGAGGGAGATGAAACGCTCAAAAACAAAAACTCAAATCATCTTAGAATCAAAGAATCAGATCTTCAGAGGAATGATTTCTTTATTTCTCAAGATCAACTAGGTCTGATTCTTTGCAGAGAAAATATTACAACGAAAATCTTAAACACAGATAGTGTATCGTCACCGGAACTATGGATCTCAACAGCGGTAGAACTAGGAAACTACAGACTGGGAAAACCTAGAGATGATAACTAGAGAGATGGTTAGTTGGGGGCAGCCTCTATCTTATAGAGCTATTACATGTTCCCAACATGCCCTTAGATATTTTAGCGGAACCACTTAACCCAGGGGCAAAATGGTCCAAGTTGAGATCAAGCATCCGATGGCCACTGGGTCTTCATTATTTTGCTTCGTCTCGATGCAAGCTTCGCGATGACGTCACATGCCCTCTCCTGTTCCCACAGGAACTCCAACCAGGTTTTGAGACCCAAACCACCTGGAAGAAGCGTATCTGCTATGCCTCCTCCACGATCTCGACATGTGTCACTGTCGTCCTCGATCGCCCGAACACCAAGTCCTCTTACGCCTCCGCTTGTCTTGGTCAATCGTTATCTTGACTTGGTCAACACGGTCAACTCTTCCTCATGTGCTATTACTTGTTGATGTCCACAAGTGTTAGCCACCATTACGACCATCTAGGGTCTCTTGGTCCAAGCCTCACGTTTGTCCTTCAACGCTTCCGGTTCATCAACACGGACCGTCTCTATCTGACCTTCACATGACCGTCGAACGTCTTTGTTCTCCACACCTGCACACCACACACAACCAAGAGACATGTTGCACACACACTCACGCAATGGTTAGTCTCTAAACTCAACCAAAGCCAATCATCTCCAATAATCACTCATCACAAACTCGATACATAAGGGCACATATGAACCTTGTGTTCGCAATCTCCTCCTTGATGAGTGCATTGTCAACACCAACACACAAAGATGGATCGAAAGCAAAAAAAGAAGTAAAACTCACTCAAATGGTCAAAAGCCAAAACAAGGTCATTTGAGAAATGAGCCAGACTTGGTCCCCAAAGACATGGGCAACAGCTCGACGCAACCAAGCAAAGCACATCTAGTCCTCAAGAAGAGGTAGAACGGGCTCAACACCACTGGCCAGTCTCTCCAGTTTCCGCGCGTGGGTTTTGCGGCCAGCGCGCGGCCCAGCCATCAAGTCACTCACGCCCGATTCTGCTAGGTAGGTTCGTACGTGTTTCTATTTTTTTCCTTTTTATTATATTTCTTTTTCATTTTCTTTTCATGTGATTTTTCTTTCTCTTCTTTTTTCTTATTCTTTTTTATCTTTGTTTATTTCTTGTTTCTTTTCTAATTATGTTTTTTTCATCCATGTTTTTCTTGTTTTATTTATTTGATGATGTGTTGTCGCGAGCCATAGAAGAAACGCACGTTGCACTATACATTGGAGCTGGCAGCCTACACTCACGTGAGATATTCTTTTGTTTTTGCTTTTCTTTCCTTTGTTCTGTTCCTTTTTTCCTTCTCTTTTTCTTTGGATTTTTTGTTCTTTTCTTTTTCCATATCCTTTTTGCTTTCCTTTTTCTTACTCCTTAGTTCATTGTTATTAGCTATTTTCATTATTTTTTATTTTTATGTTCTATTTTTTCTTTATTTTGTGAGATACATGTGATGTTCGGGTAGTATTCATGTTATTTTATTATGTGTTTTTAGATGTACATATAATATAAATGAGATGTTATATAATTATCTTTCTGTATTTATATAATACTCATGAGATGTTTTGTAGTATATTTTAGGTTGTTGAAGTAGTATCCATTTGACTTTTTTTACTTTTATCTATTACATGCTTTTTTCTTATTATTATTTTGATTTTTTCTCATGTATGTTCACGTAGTACAAAAGTGATGTTCTATGATGTATCATGTGATATTCGTGTAATATACCTATAATGTTTTATGATATATTTTATGATGTTCACGTAGTATAAATGGGTGTTCCATGATTTTTTATATTGACATAATACTCGTTAGATGTTTTATGGTAGATCTTAGGATATTCAATTAGTACCTATGATGTACTCTTTTATTTTCACAAATATCAAAATACAAATAGCATGAACTTATAATTTATTTTTAGATATAGAACATTGTTCTTATGAACCGAGAACACTTTTTCTTATAAAGGCGAAACATTGTTTTCTAATCCTAAAACATCATATGTACTCAATAAAAGAAAATATTCTGTCTTCATAAGATAAATGTTCGTTAATTTTTTTTCTAAATATATCAATGTGGGGTCTTCTTTTAAATGATTTATTGTAAAAAACATGATGATGTAAATTGAAATTTGATTTGGATGAATGATTTAGCGGCTACTACTTTTTCTAAAACCTTATACAAATATTTATGTAAGCATATTCTCTTTTTTACAGACCAGCGTGCTTTTCTAGAGCATGGATACATGTGGAGGACCACGGGCCCTAGTAAAGTAACAAAATATGATTAAATGGGCTACTAATGAAACAATCCAAATAGCCTACTAAAGTCAGTTTCGATGGGAGTTTCATATAAGTTTTATTTGCGTTAAATATATTGACAAATAGATATTTTTTATGGCATGACGGTGTATTTAGATGAAACTCTCTTGATACGACTATCAACTATCTATGAGTCATGAAATTAAATACCTATAAAACTATAAAATGAAATATTATATTGATAGTGAATATTTTATCAAATTCTGTAAACAACATCGTGAAAGTATCCCGGAGACTGACCAACCGTCGGAGCGCGTGCAAACTACCAGCCTCGGCCGGCGCCCGGTTACGGTCCGAATGAGCGGACCATAACAGACCCGAGTATCGGGGCGCCAAATTGAACAATGGTCACACAGACTCTCCAGTCTCCACTCTCCAGGCGAGGACCACGAAAACAAAAAAAATGATTTGCCGCCAATTTATTTGAAGTTACCCGCTCTTCCGATACCCAAACCGGGAATTTTTGCTTTCACCGACAGCCTGACTGTCGGAGCTACCATAGTAAATTACGACAACGCCCTCTTGAGTCTTGTCGCTCATCAAACAGCGCTGCGTGCACTTTCCCCAACAAACCCCTCGTCGGGAGAGAGAAAAAAAACCCCAAACCCTAGCCCATCTCCACGTGGCGCCGCCGGCGGGAACAGCGGCGGCGGCGCAAATGGAGGAGGAGGGGTTCCTGGAGGTGCGGTGCGCGGGGTGCGGAGATACGCTGGAGGTGGAGCGCGGCCTGACGGAATTCGCCTGCCCCAGCTGCGCCACGCCGCAGGCGCTCCCGCCGGAGCTCATGCCTCCGCCGCCGCCGCGCCCGCGGCGCGCGCTTCCTCTCGGCCTCTCCGCCGGGCCCGCGCGGGTCCCGTGCGCTGGATGCGGCGCCGTGCTGGCCGTGCCCCGGGGCACCCGGCGCCTCCTCGCGTGCCCGCTCTGCGGCGCCGAGATTGACATCGACGGCCGCGAGCGCTTTGCTGCCTACAGCGGTGTTCAGATCATTTCGCCGCCGGGAACTGTCGTGCTCGCTGCCACGTCCTCACGGCTGCCGGAGGTACGTTGCTTGGGCCGGTCGCATCGCATTGCACGGAGTGGATGCAAATGAGCAAATTCTGAAATGCCTATGTCAGCGTCTAAAAATGTTCCAATTACAGAATCATAACTTTTGCTCTAATAGCAGCAAATGTGTAGTAACTAACAGATTGCGTTTCATATCTGCGAAATTTCCTGAGACCTACATCTGTATTGGGACGACTGTTGCCATTGAATAGATGACTTGGATGTGATTGCATCGATTTGATCCTTCATTCATAATATGTTCTATCTATCTGCAAGTCCCTACCTAGGTACTCAATGGTTCAGTTTAATTTGTGCTTGCTACTTTGCTAGCTAAGCTTAGCATGATAGTTCCTAATGTTTCATCCACTTTGCTAGATAGATAGCAGTAAAAATCAGAAAATGCTGGTTTCATTCTCCACCTAGCCATGAATTTGTAGTTGCCGCTTCTTTAGGAGTGCCACAATATCTGCATAAGAGCATAAGTGTTTCCTCTGTTGGAAAATCCAGCTATTAGGCCTTCAGGATGTCCCATAAAAGGAATTACCTTTTTACTTGTCTTCCCAAACTATTGGTTAATTATAAACTAAGTTGGATTTGAAGGATACATTTAGTAATTCAATTCATTCTTTGTGCTACATGAATAGACTTACTACCAATAATGATTCGACAATTAACTTGTTAAATTTTTGAGTGCATATATATCTTTGGGTGGAGTACAAATTATTGGAGGAGTACATAATCCTAGGGTTCTTCTGTAATCTTCTTCCTTGTTCCCAATCCCATATCCTATATGCACTAGTGTTGAATTGCCTTTATTGATTGTTAAATAAACCCACCTGCGGGGTCGTGGTGGTTGTGGTTGGGGGTGGGGGGTGGGGGGGGGGGGACAGGCCCTGGGCATTTTGCTAAGAAAGAAGAAGACCTCATGCAGGACTAGAAACCCCCGAACCCCTACCCCATCCATACACAACAGCACTGTAGCCCATGTGAGAACAACCACGGGTTTGGGTTGGACCTTAGACCTGTGCCTGAAATTCGCTCCCATGGGGAATTGAACCCAGGACTTGAGTAGTGCTACTAGAGACACCTAACCAACTTACTAGAGGCCCATTCACACTTTTATTGATTGTTTTCTCTGAAGTTGCTTCTTGACCTTGAAATAGTTTTGTTCATTCTTTTGAAGCATCTCAATGAGTGGGATGTTGTATTTTTGTTACATCTATCTGTATATACAAGGGTGTGTTGGCTAGTAACATTTGTTCTCTCCACTTGCATTGTTGTGGAGCATGTGCAGGAAGAGACCATAAGCCGGGCAGTTCATGTAGGACAAGTGCAAGTAGGAAGCCACAATATTCATAGAGGGGAGTCACCCGTTAGGTTAGTCAATGAAACTGTTGAAGGGGGTGATTTTAGGAAGAAATCTAGGCCATCAACTGTTCCTAGATCTGTTTGTGTAGACAATGTAACAGTGGAACTGGAACATTCTAGAGAGGAGGCGCATGGAGAGAATGGAAGTGGTTCCATTAGAAGATTTGGAATCCAAAAGGCTACATATGCCATTTCTGGTATTGCGGAGCAGGATACAGTAGAGCCCCCAATTCAAACTGCTTGTGCTGAACCGGTGGAAGTCCAGTCGTGTGGTAACACTACTGGATGGAATCTGAAGAGGAGAAAGAGCAGCGAAACTACTGCCAAGAATCAAAATGGGAAAAAAGGGGATTTGAGTTCTTCAAGAGAACATCTTTCACACAGTAAGCTTGTGCAGCCACAAGGTAAGAGAGACAGGGATCCTATCCAGCAGATAGCTTCTTCTCCAGATGAAAATCAATTTGATCCTTCAGATATTGACAGAATCATCACCAGGCTGTGCCCCAGTGCCTTGCCTGAGAAGCAGGTATCGCAGGCAAGCTCAGATGACTTGAACATTGATGCAACCTTGCCACCTATCTCCACCAATCATTGTATATTTCAAAGTGACTGCTTCCCAGACAGACAGCACCAAGCCATGGCTACAGGTTCTCTTGCTAACCAGGGCTTTTGTTCAGTACAAGCGCATGAAATGCCTCAGGAATGTTTAAATGGCATAGTTCCTTCTGATAAAAGTAGCAAACAGAAGCAGAATCCACCGGCTGATATTCTGCACAGGCAATATGTACAAGAATACCCCAGCCATGACAGTCAGTCAGAGGAGGCGCAAGTTGGGTTTAATAACCACAACAAATATTCAGGTCATTACAAGAATACAGCAAAGGGGTCTAGGAATTTGTCAACTGAGGGGGATTATTTTGCGGAACAACACCACACTAGTACCAACCAGAGAGTGGACGCTACTACTTCTACACCTCTGCCGACTGCCACTCCCTTGCCTGTTGCAACTCCAACTTCTGTTGTCTCAAGTTTGTATCCACTCTGAACCTCAACTCTCTAGATATTTCTCTAACATCATTTTCTTTTACCTAACACTGTTGTATGTTCTCTGAATCTCTGGTCATGCAGGACCACCAGTTCAGCGATCACCACCTCAATACAAATCATTAGAAGCTCACCATTCCCAGGTATACTCCTCTCCACTATTTTTTTACTTCATGTGTTCGCCACTGCCTTACTGAATCCAATGGCATCGGTGGAAATGCCTCATTATTATCAATGGAATTTCTATGAAAAAGAAGTGTACACTCTGCAAACATTCTTCATTTTTGGTGACTACTTGAGCACGCGCAGGGTGCACAATCTGTTGGCATAGGATCTATAAACAGACCACCCAAAAAGCGCGGGGGACGGGGCCCAACAAAACTCATCGAACCACGTAGGGAAGCATACAGGCCTGTGCTAACTCCAAATAACATTGAGTACGTCTTGTAAGTTATATATATATGCATATCACTAGATGCTGGGGATGACTTGTACTTTATGATCTTACATGATATATTGACTTTTTATATTTAGCGGCACCTGGGATGTAGAACCTCCTTGTTCCAAGGTGGCCTACACCATCTCTACGCTTCTCAAGCAGTGGCACCCAGGATCGACCTACGTGCCAGCTAATCAACTCGCAAATGAAGTGCACCACGAAGAATTGATTCTCCATTGGCACCAGTATCATTCAGATACAAGGGCTATTATTTTGGATGAATTCCTTGTAAGATTCTTAAGTCAATCACATGTTTCTAAATTCATCAGGTGTGACTGAACACCATTCTATCGTATTACTGCAGCAACGCTACAAGTGGGGCCCTGGGCAAGAAGCAGAGTGTCTGAAGTTATTTGAACGCAAAGTAGTCAGACAATTCAATTCAATCCTGTGTGATGAGAAGCGAAGGGCTAGGGTGAAATTGGTTGCATCAAGGAAATCTAAGGAAGCGTTGGATGCTGCCAGGTCCAAAAAGACAAATTTGGCTGGGAAAGAGTTGAAGCAGCAGCACAGAAATCCAGCTTCAGCGGGGAGTGAGGATGATGACCCGTTGCAGTGGAAGCCTTTCCCCCCTGAATGGATGCAACCAAAGTGGTGGGAAATGCTATGTGAGCACTGGGTTTCAGAAGAAGTCCTGCAAGTCTCGGCCCAGAAGAGGAAAAACAGATACACAGGAGGTTCTGCCCAGCACACGGCAGGCTCGCGGAGCATAGCCATGCATCGAAAACTTATGGTAAGACTGAAATTGTTGTCTGATTCACACTATTAGTCACAGGTTTTATGATTCTTACTGAACTAATACAGATAATAGAAAATGGTGGGAAGCCAGTATCAGATATCGAAGTATTCAATAAGACCCACAAACACAATGGTGGTAAGGGAGAATTTGTCACTGAGAAAGCTAAGAAAACCATGGTACGTACTTGATGGCATGCACGTTGTCAATTAATAATTACATCTCCATGTTATCAACTACTCCCTCTGTCGAATTAGGACTATTTTGTTTGTTTGGACAAGAATTTGATTGACAATTACTCTACTAGTATGTCATTTACGTGATACAATATCATAACCATAAGTAAGTATTTTTTCAAGACGAATCTAATGACGTCAATTTTGTATTTTAGAAATCATGTATTAATAAAGAATTTGTTGGTCAAAAGTTTGTCTTAACGAAACGAAATGGTTCTAATTTCAAATGGAGTGTCTTAGAAATTAGTTTGATTTTGTTACCTAAAGATCATTTGTGTTTGCACACCACTATATTTTCAGGAGCGCTTCAAACGTCATTTGGAGGCAGGTGATACTGAAGTAGATCTCAATCTTGTATGGGCACAGCAGGCGGCAGGGGGGCGGAAACGAGGGAGGTACTATAGACTCCAGGGCATCATTGACAAAGCCCGAATCGGTGCCATGGCAAAATCCACCCCAGGTTGTGTAGATGAAGTAACAAAGAAAGAGATGTTCACACAGGACCAGGTGCAGGAGATGATTAGTCAGGCAGCGCAGCAATTAAATGAAGCTTGGGAGAAGAGATTTCAGTCCTTGGAGCAAAGGATGCAAGGCACGATGTCCTCGGAAGCTCCTCAGGTGGACACATGACAGATTAAAATCGATTCCTTATTTTTTTTCCCTAAAAATAATTTCTTATCCAAACGAACCTTAAGATTTTCGTATGGCATGTTCATCTGCAGCATAATCCATTGCCTCGTGGTGCCCAACCAGTGGCTGAGGACCAGGCATCACACCAGGTAAATGGCATTTTGGTGATGTTTAATTTACTGGGAAACCATAACGCTGATGTGATTCACACACGATGCTTTGCAGGATGCCTCAGACTCTTCACATGGAGGATCGTACCAATCCACAGCAGACGATGACGAGGATGACGAAGACTATGTTGTTAACTAGGGACATTTGAGCCTGCTTTGTACTTACTGTTTTATTAAAAGATCTGGCAAGATAGTTGGAGTTGGAACATTGATATTTCTGTTTCTGTTTGGGCATGCTCGGATGGACTAGAGCTAGTTACTAGTTGGGCTAAATTAGTTCAAATTAACCAAAATTGGCTAACAACTAGTTGAAAGCCTAGTTAAAAATTAGCTCATTTATTAGCTTCATATTTGGATGGGCTAGAGCTAATTTTAGCTGAAGTAATTAGGCCCCGTATGAAACTTCCTAAGTAAAGATATACTATTTTACATGGTAGCATGGCTCTCGGGCCCACAACTGTGTAAAGTGTCAACACGGGAGACCTGAAGTCGTCGTTGGGCTGACCTGAGGTTGTCGGCCAGCTCCGGTGGGAGCATATTGTCTATACGTGGCCTGCCAAGTTGCCAAGTGTTTTTTTTTCCTCGCCCAATTGGTAAGACGTCAGGCCATCCCCTGGCCGTCACCTTCATACGGCCGCACCTTGCTCCGTCCTTGCTGCTACCATCCGTTTCAATCCAGGTGGATAGTCCGAATCAGGCCCGCCGGCCGCCGGCTTCCGGGATCCGGCTGCACTCCGCTGTTTTTTTTTGGCGCGCCGGCTGCAAGGTATGGTGCTGTAAACTTCGTTCCTTCTTCGCACCTCAGGGTTTTTGACTGTACCATCGTTTGTTTACTAAGATTTTGACTGTGCCATCGATTGTTTATGCAGACAAGCTAAGATAGCACCATTCAACGAGTACGAGCTCTGCAGTGCTTGTGTGTGACTCACAGAGAGCGAAGGTTCAGTCAATGTGGTAGAAAAAAAATGCTAGTGAGCGCTTCTACGGGAGTGCTGAACTCGCTCCTAGGAAAGCTAGCCATTCTTTTGGGGGAAGAGTATGCCAAGCTCGCCAAAGGATGGCTAGTCCAGTTGGTTAACTGAGATATGCTAATCACTCCGACGGCATCCTCCAGGGCGACATTCTCCAGGTCGGGGTTCGACTTCAGTGGGAGCGAATTTTAGGTCGGGGGTTAAAAAAAATCTCCTCGCCGGTCCCGGTGCCAAAGCACTGGTTTAAAGGAGACGGCCCATCTCATGGGTTACGTCTCCCAGTGTCGGGCCGGGGCCGGGGTTCGGGGGTTTTCTTGGCCTGTGTGGGAATGCCTTCTTCTTATGTATAATGCCCAGGGGGCGGCTTGCCCCTCGTAGGTCGAGTTTTTAGTATGCCAAGCTCAAGGGTGTGCGGAAACAGGTGCCAGATGATCCAACAAGAACATTCAAACATGAGTACATCTTATTAGTATATTCTTTAGGAAGCATCTCAAAAAAGTTTAGCTTTTTCATGACAAGATGATAGCGTTCCTCACGCTCACTCTTTGTTCCCTCATGGAGCGCACAAACGTCTGACCATAGTGCATGGACGTCCTTGTGGTTCCTCACCCGGTTAAACACATCTTTACAAAGGCCTCTAAAGATGTTGTTTCGAGCCTTTCCATTTCATTTCTCGTAATTTCACCTCATCGCCTTGTAGGTGTGTAGCATCCCGAGGTTTTGGGAAGCCTTGTGAGGCGGCTCTAAGTATTCCAACATCTAGAGCTTCTAAATACGCCTCCATGTGGATTTTCCAATATGGAAAATCATCCCCCCTAAAGATAGGAGGAGGACCATCCCCGTGAGACATCTTTCTGTAGACGGTTAAGTCTAAATACGTGAGCACGAGGCTCCGATACCAATTGAAAGGATCAAGATGTCCAATAGGGAGGATGAATTTGGCTAATTCTAAATTTTTTGCAATAATTAAACCCTACGGTTAGCCCAATTAACCCCTTGTGCCTAGAAAGTGTTTCTATTGATCTAACGCACAAAAGTTTAGCAACCTATGTTCCAATTCTAGTCTAGCATGGCAATTCTATGAATGTAAATGACAAGAATTAAATTGCTCAAAGTAAATGCTCAAAGTAAAGAGAGAAGGATGAACGCGGCGATGTTTTGCCGAGGTATCGGAGAGTCGCCACTCCCCACTAGTTCTCGTTGGAGCACCCGCGTAAGGGTGTAGCTCCCCCTTGATCCGCGCAAGGATCAAGTGCTCTCTACGGGTTGATTCTTTGACACTCCATCGCGGGGAATCACCCACAACCGCTCACAACTCGAGTTGGGTCATCCACAAGCTCCGCCGGATGATCACCAAGCTCCCAATCACCACCAAGCCGTCTAGGTGATGGCGATCACCAAGAGTAACAAGCATGAACTCTCACTTGACCACGACAAGCCTAATGAGAAGGGTGGATGCACACTTTGCTACTCTTGCTTTCACTAATGAGGGCTCTCTTTGGGATTCTCAAATCTCAATCACCTCACTAGGACCTTGCTTTTCTTGGCACTCTCAAAGGTGTTTCTTAGTTGTTGGAATGAGCAAAAGTACCCCCTCACACGAATGGAGGAAGTATTTATAACTTTGGTTGAAAAACAAACCGTTATGTACCTCTACGGGGTGACCGGACGCTCCGGTCAGTTCACCCCGACCTCCAGTGTTTAAGTTGTGACCGGACGCTGGACAGCGTCTCGGTCAGCACTGATCGGACGCGTTCGGTCATGATTTTTCCTCTCTGGAACCTTACTGGAGTCGACCGGACGCTAGAACCCAGCGTCCGGTCACTCACCTCTCAGCGTCCGGTCGCACCAGACGATTTTACCTTGATCAAATGAACTGACCGGACTCTGCGCCAGCGTCCGATCAGTATTTGACCCTCCATTCACTTTCAACTCTCGATCATACGTGAATGAAGTTTGCTCCAATGGATCTAAGGGCTTTTTAGGAGCTACCTAGTGCTAGATTTAGCAAGTGTGCACCACACCTAACCCACTAGACTCACCTAGGTCAAGCTACCCGTCCATACCCCCTTAATATATGGCCAAAGGAAAAACAAAGTCCTAAACTACCCTAAGTGTCTCTTCAACTTCAATTGACACTTAGAACTAGTCCATCCTTAACCTTGTCGTCCATCCTTTGAAAACCGAAACGATTTCCATCGTAGGGGCATGACCACCATGATAGCCCAATCGATCTCCATTATCGTGACCGAACTTAATTGCCTCTGCAAAACACACGTTAGTCACAGTAATCACGTATTGTCATTAATCACTGAAACTCAATTAGAGGCCTAGATGCTTTTAATCTCCCCCTTTTTGGTGATTGATGACAATACCACCTCGAGTATGTGAAAGAGATGAGGTTTTTAACATGCTTGGATCATATAAGCTTTTACCAATAAGAACAAAGGAGTTAGGTAAGCTTATATGACCCAAGTCAACATGATGTACTCCAAAGATATGAAATAAGCATTAGTACAAGTAATAAAGCTCATTTGCATCGGAGTAAAACGCGGAAGCAAAGCAAATGAGCATAACACAAGTGATATGACATATAAATAATTCAAAGTAGAGAGCACACATGTCACATATCTGTAACACCCCGGGTGTTATAAATACTAAAACTGCCATGTCATCATATGCATTGCAAATCATTTGGTCATATTGAGAACTTTGATATGCATTCACTAAAACAAATTTATATTTATGTTATAAGTGTTGCCTTGTAGTGTTTGAATCGTGTTCCAAGTTTTGTTTGGATTGGGATTTTTGAAAACCCTAATTTCGGCCTTTAAGTTTTGACCTGAAAAATCCATTTCAAAATCGAAGCACATTTTGGAGTTGAGCCTTAAAGAAAAAATGTAGAGCTTGTTGAGTTGTACAAAGTTTGTTTTTGGAGTTTTCAAAGTTGTTTAGAAAAAAATGGAGTAATTTGAAAAGGCGTAATTCTTTAAATGTCCCCTTTTTGAATTTAAATTTGCATTTCAAAATGTAGACCGAATTTGGGTATGGTTATAAAAGCAAAGTTGTAGAACTTTTAATTTTGAACAACTTTTATTTTTGGAGATTTTTGAGTTGATATACAAATTTGGGAGTAATTTGGAATTTTAAACGAATGGCAATTCTGTAATTACTGTGAACAGTGTTCACCGCCTAAGCTACATGGTCGGCGACCTTCTTCGGTGTTCCAATCACGCCTGTGGCCGCCCTTGGCTTCACGCTGGCGCGGTGAAGGCTTCCGCGTGGCTTCCTTGAGCTTCTGAGCCGCTCTATAAGGCCGAGACGCCGTCGCCGTCGTTCTTTTCTTCTTCTCTATTTTCCCGTCGCCACCGCTCAACTCCGGTGAGTCCATGTCGTCACTGTAGTGCCTCTCTAGCCTCAGCAAAGCTTTCCACAGCTCCGCTTGCTCCTTGCGCACTCAGCCGAACCATCCTTGATGCTTGCCTCCACCGAGAAACCGCTGTCCACGCCTCTCTTCCTCGCGGCCAGCAACCTTACCGTCGCGCAGCGCGTTGCCGTGACCAGCGCGCTATGGTCTGCCTTTGACCTTGACAAGCTTTGCTTCAGCTTCGTCTCGATGCCGTGGTTCTTAACATCTTGTTGATTGCTCGTTTTGACCACCGCAGTCGCCGGAACTCCGCCACCGACGACGTTTTGCTCCGCCGTGTTTGCTCAGCTCGTCGAACCACCTTGCTGTTGCTCCTTCGGCTCGGCCTTTGACTCCAACGCGTTCGGGGTGAGCTTCTGGTGCTTCCTGTGCCATTTATTTAATCGCTACCGGTCTCCTGTCGCCGGCATAGCGCAGCCGCGCCGTCGTGGCCGCCATGGCCGGTGTCATGCTCGGTCCTGGCCATGGTTGATCTCGTTTGTGCCACCAATCGACGCGTAGGGATGTAGGGGTCATTTTGGTACCTTGGCCGTCGCCGTTGAACTCGCCGTCGGCGAGTTTTCGCCGGTCAACGCGCGTGTCGCCGTGGTCAAAGCGCGAGGTTAGGGATGACAAGTGGGACCCGGGTGTCAGTGACTGTGTAGTTCAAAATGGAATTTTTCTATTTTCAGAAATGGATGAATAGTAATAGTTTTTGTTATTTTTGTGTAGATTTATTTAGAGTTCCAAAAATTATGAAAA